GCCGACCCGGCGACGGGCAACCTAAACCCCCCAACGCCCCTTCCTCGCCGACCCGGCACCGCGCCCCGGGCAGCCCCGCACCCGGGCTTCACCTCTGGCCTCCTTGCGCCTCCCCGCGCCGGTCCTCCTCCGGCTTCGCTCCCCACGGCCGGCATTTCTCCAAACCCCTACACCTCTCGGTTACCTCCAAAGGCGTGACCCCCGCGCCCTTTCCCCCTCACCCTTTTCCCTCCAAGCCTCAGCTATCCTCTGGGTGGCCACAGCCTCTTCCCGCCCTGCGTGTCTCCCCCCACCCCCCGCCTCTCCCGGCCGCCCCTCTCCATTCATCCAGCCATTGTCTCCCGCCCCCTCCTCCTCCTTTTCCCCAGGCGGCCTCCTCCCCCACCGCTGCCACGTCGTGGTTTGAAGGAGCCAATAGGCCGGCGCCGCCAGGTGTCTCTTACCTGCACCACGTGGGGGAGGGGGAAGGGGCGGGCAGGTAGAGCCACATCCCAAAACAGAAAAGCTTTCAGCCATTGCGCGCGCCTCCCGGGGGTGCAGCCCGGCTCGAGGCTCTTTGCATAGACGCACCGGCAACTGAATACAAAAAGGGCAGGTCGGCGGCGCCCTCCCTCCCGCCCCCCTTCCTGCCCAGGGTGTGGAGCGCTGGCCAGGTGTCGGCTGGGGTGGCTGGTTACCGCCTTTTGCTCCGGCTGCGGGGAGAGGAGGAAGTGAACGTGTCGGAGGAGGCGATGGGCGCACTTTTCCTTTTCTTTTCTGGAGCGTGCTAGCAACGGGCTTTCCGGTCCTCTCTCCCGCGCCGCCGCCCGACCCCCCCTTTCTCCCCCTCCCCACCGCTCGTCATGACGGGCGTTCTCCGGGACTACTTGGTGGTGCTTTTTTGGGAATCACTGCTGGGGCCCACGGGGGCCAAGCTTGGCTCGGATGAGAAGGAGCTGATCCTGCTGGTTATGGAAAGTCGTGGATCTGGGCCAACAAGAAGGTAGGGTTCCCCCCCAGCCGCT